AGTGGGTGGGCTGTGATTTTGAATGGGCTTGTCGTGGCTCTGACTGGATGGACCGTGGGTCACCATGGATGGATTGTGGGTCAAAATGAGTGGGGCATAACTTGGAGTGGGCAGGTACGAAGCTCTGAGTTGGTGGGCTCAGGTCTGGAATGAGTTATTGATGTCGTGGAATGGGCAGGTTGTGATTCTGAATGGGTGTTCTGTTGTTCAGAGTGGGTGGACTGGGGGTCAGTGTAGGTGGGGCATATCTTGACTTGGGTGGGCTGTGGTTCGGAGTGGCTGTGAAGTAGCTCGGAGGGGGCAGACCGTGAGTCAGAGTCTACAGGTGCTGGCTCAGAGTGGGCGGATCTTGGTTTGGAGTGGGCAGGTTCTGTTACGTAATGGGCGGGTCTTGGTTCTGAGTGGATGGGTCTTTGCTCAGTGCGGGTGTGTTGTGGCTCGGAATGTACTGGTCGTATTTCTGTGGGCTGCTGTTGCTGCTGGCTAGCGTTGAGGCTTTGTAGCTCCTCCCTGAGGCTGTGAAGGGTCTTGTCCTTGAGTTGTAGCTGCTCTCTAACTGTGGTGAGCTCTTTCCTCAGAGATTGTCCTCCTGGAGCTCCTGCACCTCTTTTCTCAGCTGTAGCAGTGAGTTCTCTAACAGGGGCAGTTGGTCTTTTAGTTGCTGGGATGGATCACTGGATGGTGGGTTGGAGAGCAGCAGCTGTTTGAATCTATCAGCTCTACCTCTTGGAGGGACAGGCTCTCTCTCAGCTGGAGCACTGTGCTCTCCAGTCTGTGTGGTTCTGTGCTGTCCTGTACTGATCTGAGTTCTGTGGGGTGCATCTGCTCGTCTCTCCCCTCCCCCAATCGCTGGACTTCACTGCTGCTGCGCTCTGCCCCTCCCATCCCTCAGTCCCTCTCTCAGTCTCAGCCTCTGTCAGGGCTCTGATAAAGGTAAAGTCCTGCTGGACAGAGCTGAGACTAGCCTCACTGCCCTGAAACATGATGGTTCCATTGTGGTACACATTCACAGTCAGGAAATTACTTTCACTCTCCTCGTTCTCTATGATTATTTGTCTTCCGTTGCAGATGCCCCTCTTTTTGTGGCGTGTGTAGTGGGCGCAGATAGCCCTGTGGCAGACTTCAGTGTGGTCAGTGTAGAGCAGGAGGTTTGTAATGGTCATTTTACTCTCTGTTTGCGAGTAATCAGCTGTGAGGGTTTCTGGGTTTTCTCTCAGGAATCTGTGTAGGCTTTCCTTGCCTATGTGGTGGTCAGGTCTGCAGGGTACTGCACTGCCAGGGGGGAGGAGTTTTCCTGCAGCTGCCTCAGTCATGGCTCACACTCTGTGGCTTAGGTTAGCTAGGTTAGCACTGGAGCTAATTTACTGGAGATTCAAAACTAAGATTTATTCAGTTTTTTTTGTAAAGGTGGAGGTTCCTACCTCAGTATTCCTGGGTGGATGACTTGAATGGATGAAGCTTTGTAAATTTGATGATCTTTATTCCTCCTTATTCCTCCTCTTGTCCCTGTTTTTGTTGCTCCTGCTCTGCTCTGCTGCAGCTTCAGTTAGCCAATCTTTAGCTCAGTCTGTTCTTGTCTTTTCTGTGACTAACCTTATTTATTTTTCAGAAGATAGTTTCTGTTTTACTTTCTTGTCGGTTCAGAGTGTTTAAAAACTAGCTTACTTTGGTTTATCTCATTTTAAAACCATTTAATTTGCAAAAGTTTCAAGAGCTCCCATGAAGCATGACTCTCATGAACTCTCTCTCACTCCCTGTGCTGGACTTTACCTGGGCTAATTATTTCCTGTGCTAGACTTTACCTGGGCTAAATACTCCCTGTGCTGGACTTTACCTGGGCTAATTATTTCCTGTGCTAGACTTTACCTGGGCTAATTATTACCTGAGCTAGACTTTAGCTGGGTGAATTATTTCCTGTGCTAGACTTTACCTGGGCTAATTATTACCTGAGCTAGACTTTACCTGGGCTAATTATTACCTGTGCTAATCTTTACCTGGGTGAATTATTACCTGTGCTAGACTTTACCTGGGCTAATTATTTCCTGTGCTAGACTTTACCTGGGCTAATTATTACCTGTGCTGGACTTCACCTGGGCTAATTATTTCCTGTGCTAGACTTTAGCTGGGCGAATTATTTCCTGTGCTACACTTTACCTGGGTGAATTATTACCTGTGCTAGACTTTACCTGGGCTAATTATTTCCTGTGCTAGACTTTAGCTGGGCTAATTATTACATGAGCTAGACTTTACCTGGGCTAATTATTACCTGAGCTAGACTTTACCTGGGCTAATTATTACCTGTGCTAGACTTTAGCTGGGCGAATTATTACCTGTGCTGGACTTTACCTGGGCGAATTATTACCTGTGCTAGACTTTACCTGGGCTAAATACCCCCTGTGCTATCTTAATTAAGAGATAAACCACAACTAACAAGACTAATTAACCCCAACAGAGAGAGATGAAGGGAGAGAGAGATACAGATAGAGAGAGAACAAAGAGAGAACAGACAGAGAGAGAGAGAGAGAGAGAGAGAGTCAGAGAACAAAGAGACAGAACAGAGAGAGTTAGAGAGAGAGGGAGAGAGAGAAAGAGAATTAGAGAGAGAGAGATAGAGAGAGAAAGAGAATAAGAGAGATACAGATAGAGAGAGAACAAAGAGAGAACAGACAGAGAGAGAGAGAGAGTCAGAGAACAAAGAGACAGAACAGAGAGAGAGTTAGAGAGAGAGGGAGAGAGAACAGAGAGAGTTAGAGAGAGAAAGAGAATAAGAGAGAGGGAGTTAGGGAGAGAAAGATAATTAAAGAGAGAGAGGGAGAGAGAGAGGGAGAGAGAGAGAGAGGGAGAGAGAGAGAGAGTTAGAGAGAAAGAGAATTAGAGAGCGAGGGAGAGAGACTCTCTCAGATAGTCTTTTGATTGCTGTTGCAGTCATCAGTAATTGAGTGGACTGAACAATAATGACCTCATAAACTGTGCGGAATGAAATCAGACGATTCAGAGCGACGCTCAGATTAAAACACTGTAGGTCAATCTGTTAATGGATAAATGGAAAAAGGCTGAATGGATGAATGAACGGAGGCTTTAAAGGTGACGACTGTGATGATTAACTCTCAGTTTGTGGCTGACGATCCTGTAATTTTATATGAAATATTTCTGACTGAAACGAGTGCCGAAATCATCTGGACAGTAAATATTCAGTCTGTCCCACATTAGAGTAAGAAGAGGAGATGATTTACAACCCCATTTCCAAAAAAGTTGGGACGCTTTGCAGAATGTAAACAAAAGTAGAATGCAATGATGTGCAAATCATTTTAACCATATTATTTAAAGGAAAATACTACAAAGACAACATATCAAATATTGAAATTGAGAAATTTAATTGTTTTTTGAAAAAATATATGCCCATTTTGAATTTGATGCTGGCAACATGTTCCAACAAAGTTGGGACGGGGGCATGTTTACCACTGTGTTTCATCACCTCTTCTTTTAACAACACTCTAAGTGTTTGGGAACTGAGGAGACACTGCTGTAGTTTAGAAAGTGAAATGTTTTCCTGTTCTTGTTTGATACAGGACTTCAGCTGCTCAACAGTTCAGGGTCTCCTTTATCATATTGTTCATTTAATAATGCACCAAATGTTATCAGTGGTGACAGATCTGGACTGCAGGCGGGTCAGTTTAGCATCTGGACTCTTTTAATATGGAGCAATGCTGCTGTGATACATGGAGAATGTGGTTTAACATTGTCTTGCTGAAATAATCAAGGCCTTCCCTGAAAAAGACGTCGTCTGGATGGCAGCATATGTTGCCAAAACATGTATATATCATTCAGCATTAATGGTGTCTTCACAGATGTGCACGTCACCCATGCCATGTGCACTAATGCACCCCTGTACCATCATGAATAATGGCTTTTGAACTGTGCACTGATAACAAGCTGAGTGGTCTTTAGCCCGGAGGACACAGTGTCCATGATTTCCAAAAAGAATGTCAAATGTTTATTCGACGGACTACAGGACACTTCTCTACTTCACCTCAGTCCATTATAAATGAGCTCAGGCCCAGAGAAGGTGGCAGCATTTCTGGATCCTGTTTATATTTGGTTTCTTCTTTGCGTTTTAGAGTTTTAACTGTCATTTGTGGATGCAGTGATGAACTGTTTTCACAGACAGTGGTTTTCAGAAGTGTTTCTGAGCCCATGCAGTGATTTCTTCTACAGAATCATGTCTGTTTTTAATGCAGTGCTGCCTGAGGGCCCGAAGATCATTGCCAGAAAATACTGGTTTTTGACCTTGTCCCTTACATACAGAGACTTCTCCAGATTATCTGCATCTTTTAATGATATTATGTACCACAGATGCAAAAGTTCTTTGCTATTTTATGTTGAGAAATGTTATTTTTGAATTGTTGCACTATTTGATCGTACAGTCTTTCACAGAGTGGTGAATCCCTCCTCATCTTTACTTCTGAAAGACTCTGCTGTTTTTATACCCAATCATGTTACTGACCTGTTGCCAATTTAACCACCAGGTGTTTGTTTAGCATCACACAACTTTAATAATAATAAAAAAAAAATAAAAAAACAATAAAAATTCTCAGTTTTGACACTTTGTACTATTTTCAGTGAAATACAGAGTTTAAATGATTTGCACATCATTGAATTTTGTTTTCATTTACATTTTGCACAGTGTCCCAACTTTTTTGGAAATGGGGTTGTATTATTGTATTAGTCTTGTGCTATGGAAGAATATCCTTTTTGTCTTTTTTAATATCAAAATAAACAGAAAATACTCTGAAGTGAGATGCAAACCTGTTAATACAGACAGGTAATCAGATGTAAATGTAATATAATGTAATAATATAAGCCTATCTGTAAAATTAAATTTGCAATAATAAGTTCACAATTACAGGTTAACAGTAAAAGAAGCTAGTTTGCTTAGCTTTGTTTGGTTTTCTTGTTCCAGTGTATTTTGATAAAGCTGGTGCTTTTATCTTTTTTTTTAGCTCCAATGGAAAGTCGGTGACGTGGGCTCAGACGGAGCGCAATTCCAAAGGCAGCCACCTGTGGCAGCGTCTTTCCTTCCACATCAAAAAACGGGAGAACAACCAGACGGCCGTGATCAAGCCTTTCTCGAAGACATCGGAGGGTCGTGACTGTGGAGGAACTGAAGTCCCGCCAGACAGCAGCAACAACAAGATGCTATACGAAGTCACCGAGCCGGAGGAGCGCTTCCCCATCACGTATCGTCCTCAAACACCATCCCCAATCAGCACCGTGAGCCAGAGAGCAGGGGGCGGAGCTTTGGGAAGGAGCTCGGGTGCTGATGACCAGGTGATCAGTGGAGTGTCATCTTATCTGAGCCAGCCGCCTCGGAGCGACAGCGTGTCCTGCGGCGGAGTCGGCGGCACCAGCGCATCACAGGGATCGCTGATGGAACAGATCAGCTGTGTGGTTAACCGCTTCACCGCTAACATTAGCGAGCTAAACAGCATGATGCTGTCCAACTCACCACCAGGGGGCACCATGGGGCTGAACACGAGCATGTCTGCTAGCATTTCAGCTAGCATGTCCACTCACGGCCACTCCTCCAACTGTCCGCCTCCCTACTTCCTGCCCCGAGAGGTTTCAATGCCGACCACGATGACGACCTACGCCGAGATCCAACCACTACCACCAGTGGAGTCCAATGGGGGTCGGACGCCTTGCCCGCTGCCCAGCTCCTCCTCCAGGGGTCCAGGCACCAGGAGCTCTCCCGTGTCCAGTGTCAAAGAGTTCATGGTGGGCACGGCGTCAGCCCTCGAGTCCACAGTTACAAAGGCCGAGCTGGAGGAGCTGCTGCCGCTAACGCCTCCATCGCCCTTCAGGGACTCTGTGGCTTCCGGGAGCAGCTCCCCCAACTCCCCCACCGGCTCAGAGGCAGGTCTGGGACCGCCCCCGTCCCCCAGATACGAGTGCCTGGTACTGCGACACTACAGCCAGAGCTCCTCCTCCTTATGAGGGCCGGGGAGACGTAGGAGGAGGCGACATTTGGGGAAAAGAGGCAGGAGGAATGTACGAATAAATGACAAATAACGGCTTCCTAGAAAACGTAATAAGACAAATCTAGTCTTTAGTGTGCGTGTTTACATGTTTTTGATGCCGGAGACAGACGGCCAGTACAACAACAAGACGTCCGCCGAAGTTTCTCCTGAGCGAGGCATTTTACGAACGGCCTGCAGGGTCGCACAACAACATAATATCTTTTTGTTCTGTTGTTTGTTTGTTTGGTTTGTTTTGGTAGTGGCCTTAAACAAACATGGCTTTCGTCTAATTAGAGATGTCCTTCTGACAGTATAAAAAAAAACACATTTGTGTGTTTGTGTGGCGAAATGGGGACCCGGCCGCCAGTGGGGACCTTCAGCGTCCTTCACCCAAGGAGCTTGAAAAGGAAAGTGACTCAGAGTATTAGTGACACTTGGCAATGCACTCGGGACCGAAGACCTGCTCCGCCAGACTGGGAACAAAGTGCTTTGTTTTATTTACTGCAAAACCCTGTAAATATACATCAGTGACATTTTATCATATGAATCTGTTTCTTTTTCCCTTTTTTAATTCACTCTTTCTCATTTTTCTTCTCCCTCTTCTTCCGCCTTGCTTTCCAACTTTGGGGATTATCTTCCCGTTTGATTCAGAATTATGAATGTATGTGTTTCGTGAATTTTGAATAATGTGGGACCAAAATTCTCCGTCTCTGCTCTTGAGGTTTAAGTTTTTTTGGTTTGTTTTTGTTTTTGCAGAATCGTTTTTGGCCTTCGTGAACACAATACTAGTGAATGAAATACTAGTGAATCTATTTAAGTATTACGAGTTAAAATGGTGGTTCAAATCGCCTCATTCTAGTAAATCACAGTGATTGATCGGTTTAGCTAATGATAATCAGTACAGAGTAATAATTCATTACTTATTATTTAGATTTAAATCTTCAAATACTGTTTAATAATGACGTCTTCATTCATAAAGGGCTTTTAACTAATTTAGCACACTTAGCGCCCCTTTTTTAACCCAATCAAGACACCCTCTGAATAGTGAACAAGATCCGGAATTGTCTATCATCGTTCATGATGATGGTGTACATAATAAGGGCATGCTAACGGACATAAACATCAGTCATCGCCTTACATCACCTGACACAAACATCTCCACTAACAAGTTTTACAAACAAGAAAAAAAAAAACAAACGAGACTTTTTCACTAAAGGGTAAAGATGTCTTTTCTACAGAAAACTCCGCCCACATGTACCGAACGTGTCCTGATGAATGTGAGATTATATATGTATCCGATATAAAGTATTAATATGATAGAGTTCATAGTGCCAAAGCGGCTCGCCGGGGAAATATGTGTTTATTTACCGTTTTTATGGTGATGGATACTGTATTATTTTATAAAATAAAAATCAATAAATGTTCCAGTTTTTCAGATGTAAAGCAATACTACCATAATCGCACTCGCAGCAGCTAGAAATGCGATGATGTTCCTGAAATGTATGCGTTTTTTCACCCGCTCATGTTATGGATTATAACAGTTTCCGTTTTCATTTTGGATTTTAATGATTTTAACAGATTCATTTATAAAATGTAATCATAATAAATGCAGATGCAAAGAGTGAAAGTGGAAGTGAAAGAGTAAATCAGATGAATATTAAATATTATATTCATTATGTTAACTACTAAGTTTATACACTCACAGTGTTTTATAAAGTAACCTGGCTCACAATTTAACTTCTAACAGTAAATTTACAGTAATAAGAATAATGATCCACTTTTTATGTTCCGTATCTGTTTTATTAGAAGTTTAATGAACTCATAATTTAGTCAGTCAGGTCCGTTACTTTAAGTTAAAACCCAAAGTTTTTTTACACTTCATTTGCATAATGTCTACGAGGGTCAAACATTCATTTGTACCCATCTGAGGATGAAAGCTGGAGGTCTCATATTGGACACGTTTCATCTTCTACATGTTTCTGAAGTTTTTAGCGTTTTTCACAGTTTTAGTTTAACAGCGTTTAGAATTAGAGACTGAACGTTTAAACATGCTACTCTAATGATATAAAACTAATTCTGATCATTACAGTGCTTCACTCTAAATAATCATTGATGATTAATTGATTGGAAAATAAATAAAGTCCTTTATGCTGGTAATCTTTACAGATCAGAACTGAATATTTAATTCAAAACAACAAACTCTCCCCCAAAACCGAGTCCAACTCTCAGCATCGTCAGTAACATTATTATCTATGAGAACATGTCAGTGAAGTAAGTGTCGCTGCGTAAACATGCGTGTGTTGATGTTGACATTTCGCTGTTTAGACATTAGCAGAGTAAATGTGCTGATTTTATTTGTGATGGTGACGGTTACGAGAAAGAAAGTGTTAGAATGCAATATCTGCGTCTGGTCACAGAGTGAAAGAGGTGAGCTTCCCTTCAACCAGCGTTTATTCCCAGAGGAACACGACTCTGGAGTGATGTTCACGCTGAGGTCAGTAAAGCAGTCAGGTCACTGGTCTGGACACACAGTCCGGATCTGAACAGAAAGACTCATTATTATTATTATATTATTATTATTATTATTTTAATTATTCTCTGCTGAGAAATCAGTTCAGTTCTGGTTTAAACTGTGACTGAAGAGCCCATAAAGACTCTGTCCAACCTGTGCCAACTCAAACTGTGTGAACTGAGCTGAAGTGCTTTCTTTCTTTTGCTGTTTTCTGATTGATTTTTTTGTCACTGGTTTGTTTTGCTGCGTATTTCGGGCTCTGTTCCTGTAGAGATTATAGAATGTAATATGATATTGTTATAACGTATTTCTGAAGGTGATTTTTGTTGATATAGTTCCATGCAGCTTTGTGAGAGACATTTGTGAGAAAAGTGCTTTCTGCTATTTAGAATCAAATCTTCTTTCTTTCCTTTATTTTCTGGACATCTGAAGACAGTTGTGTTGCTGTGTGACATCTTTTCATTCATTATTAAAAATCTGGAATAGATCCATGAATCTCTGGTGGGTCAGTTTGGAAAAAGATGCTTTTAATCACAGTTTCATGTTTGTTAAGGTATTAATACACACAAAACTCTCAGGCTGGACTGACAGAGACTCGGCTGTATTAACCGACAGCGCTCTCATAAAAAAGTCATGCTATAATTTTACCTAAATTATTTCCGGCTCAATGTTCATTGACAGAAGTGGAGAAACTGTGTGGAAAGTGCAGATTTTAAACTTTTAATCAATACCACAGTGATGTCTGTAAGTAGAAAGAGTGTTTCTGTTCAGGCCATGAATATCAGACAATGCTGACTTTCTTTTAGCTCACCTATGGAATTTCTAAGAGTATGTTAGCACCAGGGCAATTCTAGCCCCTATTTAAGGGGACTTTAGCCCTCGTTTTTCATCTCATGTTATACCTGGTAATTCTCCATATGAATGAAAGGCAAGGCTGAGATATAATGCGATATAAATAAAGACAGTACATTTTCACAATACAGACATAAACTTTACTTTTACAAAACACCCCATTTTAAATAACTAAGCAAGTAAGGTACCATCTGTAAAAGAAACAGCATCAATGCTTGTTTATTCACTGTTTTAAATTCGGCACACAGCTCATGAAGACATACTCAAAACCTCAGAAACGCTTCTTAACAAATACTTGTTTTGTGGCAAATTACATGCATATAAACCGAAAAATCATACAGCTGCTCACTTTATGATCTTCTGTCTGCAGATTTTTTTTTTTGGCTTTGGTATTGAAAGGGTAGTGGGATCACGGGAGCAAGAGCAGGATCATGGGAGCAGCGGTGGGATCATGGGAGCAGCGGTGGGATCATGGAAACAGCAGCGGGATCGTGGGAGCAGCAGTGGGATCATGGGAGCAAGAGTGGGATCATGGGAGCAGAGGTGGAATGATGCAGGTGATGATAGCCAAAATGACAGTGAGAATTTTGTATTAATTTAAATCAATTATTTCTTTAATGAAAAAATGATTGAAAGAATTACATTAACGAAACTGCCAACCAGCAAGAAAAAGCATGGAATAAATACAAATTCCAGCAAAGTGTTTATTGTGTACTTTATCAGTATGTATTCTAAATATATTCCAAATGTCCTTTGAATGCGCTGCTTTTTAATGCATTATAATGAGACACGTTACTAAACACATTTCAGAATTTTAATAAATTTTACTTTTTCTGCCGGGCGACAGATGAGGAGCGGTGGTGAGATGGCTAGCTAACATCTGGATAATCTGTAAAGTGATGAAAAATATTGTGGTCTATATCAGCAGGTTCTGACAGCATGTATAAACCCCTGTATGAAGAATGTTATGCAGCGTTTTTTTTTAGTTATTAGTTATCTATCTAATGAAATAGAGGCGTGTTTAGATGGAGCCTTTTTAAACGCAGCACACCTGCTTAAAAACCATCTTTGGGCAAGAAAACATGTTTGGTTGACAAGTGGTTAGAAATGAAAGACAGATGAATCATAAACTGATCAGGTTCTCAGAGCGGGGCGGAGCCAAGCAGTGCGAAGTCCACCCCCCAAACCCAGTTTTGCAAAGTGAGATTGCCATCATCAGTAAAGCAGTGACCAGAGAAACACTGTGTGAACGGTCACACTTACTTTTAAAATCTGTCATCAGGGCAGTTACTGCTCAGCTGTAAGAGTTTGCCATCAATAATCAATAATCAGTACAGCTGTCAGTGATAAATAGCAAGAACGCAGAGAAAAGCTCAGTGCTAGTCTGCTTCGTTTTGCTTAATGAGACAGGAACAGTTCACATCTACAGCGATACAGCGAGTACTTTTGTTGATCACATGACCAACATAAACATGTTCAGCAGAAAAAAATACAAGAAATGAAACCAACAGCATTAATTAATTATCAATTAAGAACAGCTTCAAAATCACTTTCTGCTTTTCCAGAAGAAACACAGCATGACCTGTAGAGAGTGAACTGTAGAGAGTGACCTGTAGTGAGTGACCTGTAGTGTGTGACCTGTAGTGTGTGACCAGTAGAGAGTGGCTTGTAGTGTGTGACCTGTACTGAGTAAACTGTAATGAGTGACCTGTAGAGAGTGACCTGTACTGTGTGACCTGTAGTGTGATCTGTAGAGTGCCCTGTAGTGAGTGACCTGTAGTGTGTGACCTGTAGAGAGTGAACTGTAGAGAGTGACCTGTAGTGTGTGAACTGTAGAGAGTGACTTGTAGTGTGTGACCTATAGAGAATGACCTGTAGTGTGTGACCTGTAGAGAGTGACCTGTAGAGAGTGACCTGTAGTGTGTGACCTGTAGTGTGATCTGTAGAGTGACCTGTAGTGAGTGACCTGTGGAGAGTGACCTGTAGTATGTGACCTGTAGAGAGTGAACTGTAGTGTGTGACCAACAGAGAGTGACCTGTAGTATGAGACCCGTAGTGACCTGTAGTGTGATCTGAGTAACCTATAGAGGTTGACCTGTAGAGTGTGAACTGTAGAGAGTGAACTGTAGTGTGTGACCTGTAGAA